CACTCTTAATTGTTTCCTTTGCTGTGCAGAAGTTTCTAGTTTGATACAAATCCATTTACCTATTTTTGCTTTGGTTGCCTCTGCTTTTATCCAAGAAATCACTGCCTAGACCAATATCATATAGCTTTCCCTCTATATTTTCTTCTAGCAGTTTTACAGTTTCAGGACTGACATTTAAGTCTTATAAATGCATAAGGTAAAGATAAAGGTATAAGGTATAAAGGTATTACATATAAGGGTAAGATAAAGGTCCATCTTTATTCTTCTGCATGTAGACAACCAGTTTTCCCAATACCATTTATTGAAGACTGTCCATTCCCCATCATGTGTTCTTGGCCGCTTTATTAAAAAAAAAAAAAAAAAAAAAATCAAATGACTTGAATTTTGTGGGTTTATTTCTCGGCTCACCATTCTATCCATTGGTTAATGAGTCTATTTGCATGTCATTATCATGCTGTTTCGATTACTATAGCTTTGCAATATTATGTAATCTGGTAGTGTGATGCTTCTAGTTTTGTTCTTTTTGCTCAAGGTGGCAACAGGGTCTTTCAAGATTCCATATAAATTTTAGAATTTTTTGTATTTCTGTGAAGAATTACATTGAATCTGTAGATTACATTGGGAAGTATGGACATTTTAACAATATTAATTCTCCCAATTCATGAACACAAGGGATTTTTCCATTTATTTGTACCATCCTCAATTTCTTTCATCAATGTTTTATAGTTTTCTACACAGAGATCTTTCACCTCTTGGTTAAATTTACTAAGTATGTTTTATACTATTAAAGAGATTATTTTCTTTTGTTCAGATATTATATAGTCAGTATATAGAAATGATATTGACTTTTGTATGTTGAGTTTGTATCCAGCAACTTGACTGAATTCCTTTATTAGTTCTAACAGCTTTATGGTGGAAATCTTCAGGATTTTATATATATAAGATTGTGTTGTTGGCAAACAGATAATTTTACTTCTTCCTTTCCTATTTGTGTATCTTTTATTTCTTTTTCTTGCCTAAGTGCTCTAGCTAGAGCTTAGAGTACTATGCTGAACAGGAGTGGTGAGAGTGGACATCCTGATCTTGTTCGTGATCTTGGAAAAAAAGCTTTCAGCTTTTTACCATTAAGTACAGTGTTAGTTTTGTGCTTGTCATATATAGACCTTCTTGTGTTGAGAAATATTTCTTCTATACCTAATTTGTTCATAGAATTTTTAGCACAAAACCATGTTGAATTTTCTCAAATGCTTTTTCTGCTCCTATGGGGATAGTCTTATGAGCAAAAATCCTATGATCATCTTTAAAGTATACAGAAGATGTACAAGAAGCTGAGAGTATCACGGCATGATAAGAAAATAAAAAATTCATTTCCTACTACTCTTAAGAATAAGTGAACACATTTATTTTATAAATAACATTCTCAAACAATCAGACCGTGGCATTACAATAAGGAGAATTTCAGAGTTTCACAGTTTAAGAGTTCAGCAAATAAAAACCCTTATTTTACAAACAAGAAACTGAAAATTCAAAGAGATCATTATTACAGAGGTGAATTAAGAACAAGTCCCCTAACTACTTAGACAGTAATCATTTAAACAGTGCAAACTTAAATTGTGTCCCTCTTTTAGTCATTTGTTCTGCTTACTAAGCTTATATACCCACAAAACAACAGGAATTAAACACCTCTGTTATAAATCCACTCATACCTTCTAGAACTGAAAGCAAAGCACAGTGTCCTTGAATCTTCTTGCCAGATCTAACCTAAAATAAATTCCTGTGTTTACCTTAATGTGCGAGGTAAAACATCTAAAATTTTATGGCAAACTGACCTAAAATTAATGATATTAATTTTAATTCTCTATGTTGTAGTTGTTGCTTTTTACATTGTCAAGTTAGTAAAATGGGAAAAAGAGAAAATAACATTACCAAGTTGTGTGAATATGCCATTTGCAAAGAGAATATTTTTAAAAATAAAACAAACATGTGACCAACTTACCAAGTTTTTTTTTTTTTTTTTTTTGGGGGGACAGAGTTTCGCTCTTGTTACCCAGGCTGGAGTGCAATGGCACGATCTCGGCTCACCGCAACCTCCGCCTCCTGGGTTCAGGCAATTCTCCTGCCTCAGCCTCCTGAGTAGCTGGGACTACAGGCACGCGCCACCATGCCCAGCTAATTTTTTGTAGTTTTAGTAGAGACGGGGTTTCACCGTGTTGACCAGGATGGTCTCGATCTCTTGACCTCGTGATCCACCCGCCTCGGCCTCCCAAAGTGCTGGGATTACAGGCTTGAGCCACCGCGCCCGGCCCTTACCAAGTTTATACTAAACAAACTGAAGTATTAAGAAGTTACAGTAGAAAGTTATATTTCATATAATATCTGCCCTCCAATTATTTGAAATGTCAGTATTAAAAATGGTCAGTATAAAATGTTTCTGGTTTTATCATAAAACTTTTATTTAAGTCTTCATTTTCTAAGTTATTTAATGTTTCAAGTGTCATAATAATTAGGTTTTGATACTAATTGTAAGGAATAATCTAAGATGTGGATTTGCTGGATGTTTTTCTATTTTGAGATATAAAATGCATAAGTAAACATCTACTATGTTTCAGTTTCTGTAATAAGCCTTGAAAACAGATGAATGAAAACATGTCCCTTCCCTCAAGGAGGACAGTTTAGTAAGTGATATAAACATGTACAGAAATACAATGCAACAATGAATGGACAAAGAAGCACAGAGAAGATAAAGCAGAGAATGTCATGGAAGGTTTCATGGTAACACCTAAAAATTGGTTTTTAAGGGTGATGAGGAATTTGATAGGACTTAAAGGAGGTAATTTCTTTATATAAAACACTAGGAAAGATAAGCTCAATCTAAAGTGATAGAAGGTAGACCAGTGAGTTCCTATGGCAAGGGTTGGTGATCATGGGTTAGCTGGGAAGGAATATAAGAGAACCACTGAAGTAATGAAAATGTTCTGGATCAATTGTAGAGATGGTTAGCTGGGTGCGCACACACATTTGTTAAAAATCATCAAATAATGTACTTAAAATATGTGCATTTTGTCATATGTAATTTATGCTTCAATAAACTTTTTTTTTTTTTTTTAAAGACAGAATCTCTCTTTGTTGCCCAAGCTGGAGTGCAGTGAAGCAATCTTGGCTCAACACAACTTCTGCTTCCTGGGCTCAGGTGATTTTCATGCTTCAGCCTCCCAAGTAGCTGGGACAACAGGCACATACCACCATGCCCAACTAATTTTTGTATTTTTGGTAGAGACAGGGTTTCACCATGTTGGCCAGGCTAGTCTTGAACTGCTGGCCTCAAGTGATCCACTTGCCTCACTCAGCCTCCCAAAGTGTTAGAATTACAGGCGTGAGCCACTGTACCAGGCCACAATAAAGTTAACTTTTATAAGGGGAATTGGGAAACCAAATGGGCTCCTTGTGTTGATAAAACTCTTCTATATCCCAGTGAATCACAAAGTAGTTATCAGAGTTCTGTGAGGAGGGAAATTTCTCTACATAAACAGAGTTTAAAGCTCCAATGCTGTTTCTTATTTTAGACCACTCCTAAAGATGTAAAAAAAAAAAAAAATGTAGAGTTTGGCAGAGTTCCCATGGAACAGGCTATTTCTAAGGTTATATGATATCACAAAAACAGCATTTTTGTCATACATTATTTCCATTTATAATGTAATTATTGAATGTGTAAGAATACTGATGAAGAGCTGAAGGGTTCTTTTTAACTAGATTGTTAGAAAATTAATTTGTATCTTTGGGATTATTTCAGTCTAAAATTAGAAAGTGGGTTTCCTATTCTTTCTTTCATTTATTCTTCCTATTATTTCTCTACACAGACAGCCTCCAAATAAAAGCCCTAACTCCCAGATGTTGAAAGGGATGTACACAAGTTTTAACAAGAACTCTAAATATCAGAAGTGTTTTCTGCAACTTTTGAGATGGTAAAACTTCAAGGTTCTTAGCCAAATTTATAAATTTTCTTAATCAAAATTTAAATGACCTATATCTATTATTTATGAGCTAATGACACAGGTTCTTCTAAATTTTCTACCATGCTATAGGTGTATTACTCTACACACTCTCACGTTCCTTTTGTTTGCAAATGAAAAAAATCGATGGTTACAGAGATTGATAATGTCTTGAGACCTTGGCTCAAGACATTATTGCAAGGGTAAGACCAAATGTATCTTATATGCGTTTTTGTATAAAAAGTTATAGAAAGACTATACATACTGATGGGTGAATATTGGCACAAATATAGAATTTTTTATCTGGAAGGATATACAACAAAAAGTAATGTTACTTTTAAGGAGACAGTCCAAGAAAAGAAAGAGGTGGTTCTTCAATTTTTACTTTCTGTACCATTAAAAAAATTCCAACATAAATATTTATTAATTCTATTGTTTAAAAAGTATGCTTTTACGTTGAAATCATGGGTTATATTTTCCTCTTATTTTCTAAACTTAATATAAAAGTAATGTGCTTTTTTTTCTATTATTTTTCTCTTTTTTCAACAATATGCCTGGTAGTTTGTTAATTCAGTTGCTTAGAGCACACAAAAAAAGGTCATAGGTTTGATTGAATACATTTGCAAAGAATAAAACTATCTCTTGTTCAAAGAACACATTTTTAAATTTTAAAAAGTCAGCTGGCAAACTTGTGCTGTTGATTACAGGATGAATTAGGTAAGAGCATGTGATTGACTCAATACAAAACATTAATACAAGAGAATCACTCTAATGTCTTACTGAGAGTAAGAGAGAATATATTAGGGTGATTAAATTCTAAGTAAATATTCCAATTTTCATACCTATCAACTTCTGCCCTTCTGAAGAGAATATAAGACCTTAATTAAAAAAGAAAAGTCTCTGTACTTTCAGAAAATTAATAACTATACATGTCCCAAAACTTACTATTTTCTAAAAAATACATTTTTAAATTAATATACCACATAAACATCAAATAAAGCTCTACTATACCTGTAACGTCTTCCGGATCTGACACAACAATATGTGCATTTAATTCCTGTAGCTTGTGATGTAGTTCTTCTAATTTTTTATTTGATTTTTTCAAAATGGTGTCTACATAAGCCAAACTTTTTTTATCTGTTGTGACTTTCCTCAGATTTTCAGCTCCTTCTTTGATTTTCAGTTCTTTTCTTATTTCTCTCTTAATTCGATCCTTGATATCATCCAATTTCTGTTGCACCACTGTATCTGAAAAGTCTAATTTCTGAACAGCACTCACATTCTCAGAAAATGGAAGACTTCGGGAATCCCCCTACAGAAAAAATGAACAAATGTGGGAGTTTAGGAGAGTTGGCTTCTCAGTAAATATGCAGTGTTTTCAGCCTAAGAGAGTCTTTCTTGATTACATTAGATTTAACTATATTTAATTATCTCCTTAATAAGCAAGAGAACAGTTAAGTCAATAACTATTTATTGACTTTTATTATAACCATACAAATTCAAGAACTCTCGCCACTCACTAAGCAGCATTACTTGACAAATACATTTACCTTAAAATAAAGTGAACACGACACATCTACACACAAAGGCTGTGTGTAAATATAGTGGATTTTGATATCTTAGGAACCCAGGTTAGATCCCAACCCCTACACTGTGAACCTTGGGCAAGTTATTTAACTTTTCAAATATTCAGTTTTAACAGTCCACAAAAATCTAAATAATAGTAGCCACCTTTGAGAAATATTGTGATAATTCACAAATATTGTAAATGAAGTTCTAAATACAAGTACTGGCTCACCGTTATCACTTAATAAATGAAAAGTATTATTAAATTCTATAGGTAAACACTGAAAGTCCAGATTTCATCATTACACAATATATTCATGTAACAAAACTGTACTTGTATCCCTTAAATTTATAGAAATAAAAAAATTCTATAGGTGAGTAATTTTATCTTCTGTAAGAAACTCTTTTTTCCCTCACCCATGGACCCATGTCACAGAAAGAAACTTCTTAAAAATAAATGAATATTGGCAAAATAGATACCCTTATTACCACTTTTTAGTTAATGAATTAAATGTACCAGGGTTTGGGAAAACTATATTCAGAACTCCATTTATACAGTTGTCCTTTGATATGCGTGGAAGACTGGTTCCAGGATCCCACATATATCACAATCTACAGATGCCCAAGTTGCTTATATAAAATGGTCTACTATTTGCATATATCCTAAATACACACCCCATACTTTAAATAATCTCTATGTATAATACCCAATACACGTGGCATGTAAAAGTTGCCATGCTGAATTATTTGTGTTATTTTTTGTTTTTTCCCTAATATTTTCAATCTGTAGTTGACTGAATCTGAAGATACACAATCCACTCATATGGATAGCCAACTGTATATTTCAAGGCTAAGTACTCCATCTGGTAATGTGGCTAACTCACTACTAAAGCATCATTATTTAAAAACACCTCTAAATTGTGTCCTATTAATGAAAGCTAAGACAATACACAATACAGTCATCTCAAAATGAAAATCCAATCAGTTAAGCACATCTAATCTACATTTACAACAGCCAAAGTTATGTTACACCTATTTATTTATCATTTGCTATTTCAAAGTACATTACTATAAATACTATTGGATTTACAATGTTTAAATTCTGAAACACAAAAAACCACAGGTAATGGTTACCTCTGGGAAGTAGACTTGAGTTTAAAGGGCATGGAAAAGAAAAAGACATATTTCACTGTGCAGCTGTTTTGCACCTTTGAATCACAGACCTAATTAATTCAAAGATTTTCTCTAATATTTTGAGAATTCCTCACACTCACATAAACGAGTTGGTACAAATACTTTTTTTTTTTTTTTTTTTTTTTGAGACAGAGTTTCACTCATGTTACCCAGGCTGGAGTGCAGTGGTGCGATCTCGGCTCACCGCAACCTCCGCCTCCTGGGTTCACGCAATTCTCCTGCCTCAGTCTCCTGAGTAGCTGGGATTACAGGCACGCACCACCATGCCCAGCTAATTTTTTGTATTTTTAGTAGAGATGGGGTTTCACCATGTTGACCAGGATGGTCTTAATCTCTTGACCTCGTGATCCACCCGCCTCGGCCTCCCAAAGGGCTGGGATTACAGGCTTGAGCCACCGCGCTCGGCCGGTACAAATACTTTTTACCTTAATTCTTAATTACTAAAAAGTATGTATTATGCAAAATAGTGAAAAGGGTGAGCTAATGGGTGACGTGGGATCTAGTCGCCCCTTAGCTCACCTTAATTTACCCTGTGCCTGCAGGTATATTATGTAAAACATGAAGTAGTGATTTCTATAAATGTTTCCCCCGCTCTCTCTCTCTTTTTTGTTTTCTTTTTTGGTAGAGATGGGATTTTGCCATGTTGCCCAGGCTGATCTGAAACTCCTGGCCTAAGTGATCCTCCCACTTTGACCTCCCAAAGTGCTGGGATTACTGGCATGAACCACAGTACACAGCTAAGAATTCCTTTGAAACTCCAACAAAAATACAGCACAAAGACAATTTCATGTTGTTGTGTATAATTTCCAGGTTCCATGGATCTTAAGAATTCCTAAAGTAGGTAATCTACACCCTTTAGTTTTATATTTCTGATCTGTCACTATAGATATAAACTATGATCTTCAACCTGGGGCAAAATATTTTCTAAATTTTTCAGTATTTATAATGGAATGTTAAGTCCTACCATCCACTTGGTTTCCAAAGTTTATGTGTCTACCCTTGGCTAGTTGTCAAAAACACCAGCTCATATCTATTGTCAAAGAACAAAATCCCAAATTCCTATTACCTAGTTTCAGGTGAAGTAGACTGAGACAAAAAAATGATTAGATAAAAAATAGTTTAAGCTAGTTCCACTCCTCCAAACATTACTGTTTTAATCCTTACACATTTATAAGAAAATAATTTATGAACTGATTTTACAAATTTGTTCTTTAATATTATGTACAAAGCCAGGGGTCTCCAAAATTTCTTTGTTCATGGTACTCTTAATATCTCAGGAAATTATTCCTTATTCCTCACAGGCTAAAAGAAATACCTAACGGTTTCATTTATTAAGCAGTAAGGTCCAAATAGCTTGACAAATATTTGTGTTTTAACAACTTAGTAGTCATTCAAAATAAGTATACATATAAATTAGGCCGGGCACGGTGGCTCACGCCTGTAATCCCAGCACTCTGAGAGGCCAATGCGGACAAATCACCCGAGGTCAGGAGTTCGAGACCAGCCTAACCAACATGGAGAAACCCTGTCTCTACTAAAAATACAAAATTAGCTGGGTGTGGTGGCACATGCCTGTAATCCCAGCTACTCGGGAAGCTGAGGCAAGAGAATAGCTTGAACCCAGGAGGCAGAGGTTGTGGGTGAGCTGACAAGGCACCACTGCACTCCAGCCTGGGCAACAAGGGCGAGACTCTGTCTCAAAAAAGAAAAAAAAAAAAAAAAAAAAGAAAAAAAAGAATATTTTAATGTCATTTTTAAATAACCACCATTACCAACTAAATGGAATGTGTCTCTCAGGTACGCCACAATTTCTCAAATGCTGAAATCAGAATAGAAGTTCTCATGCTCATTTCCTGTTCTATTCTGCAGAGGGAATGTCAATAATCTAATACTCCAATGGCCAGGCACAGTGGCTCACGCCTGTAATCCCAGCACTTTGGGAGGCCGAGGCGGGTGGATCGCGAGGTCAAGAGATCGAGACCATCCTGGTCAATGTGGTGAAACCCCGTCTCTACTAAAAATACAAAAAATTAGCTGGGCATGGTGGCGCGTGCCTGTAATCCCAGCTACTCAGGAGGCTGAGGCAGGAGAATTGCGTGAACCCAGGAGGCGGAGGTTGCGGTGAGCCGAGATCGCGCCACTGCACTCCAGCCTGGGTAACAAGAGCGAAACTCCATCTTAAAAATTATAATAATCTAATACTCCAGTTAGTTCACAAGGTATCTAACAAATAAAGATGTCACGTGTTTTTCCCTCCAAAATGTAAAATATACTTCAGTACCCTGCTAGTTTGCCGAGGCACCACAGAGTCTTGTTTAGAAATCATGGTACTAAGCTTTAAAGAATATTGAGCTGTCACCTGAAAATGGCTTGTATATTAGATATGAATCCTTTGAAGGGCTTTGCCTACTTCAACTCCCATTTCTTTCCAATTTGTTCCTTAAACTCTAATCATATCAAATTATAAAACTATACTTCAAGAAATCATCATTCTTGGTTCAGCCACTAACCATGCTGCACCTTTGGTATGCAATCTCTCTCCTTCCTTAATTATCTACTTCCAGTCTCTTCTTGGCCTGTTAACTTTTGTTACAAAGATCAAGGGAAATAATTTCCTGTCCAATGCCTTTATTCAGAATTTAGTTAAATGCCTCTCCTGTGTGCTCTGATATTGTGTATCTTGTTGAAACAATTACCTATTTATTTATTTATTTTTGAGATACAGTCTCTCACTGTCATTCCAGCCCAGGCTGGAGTGCAATAGCATGGCCTTAACTCACTGCAAACTCTGCCTTCTGAATTTACCCTCTTTTTTTATCTGATCACTCTTCAAAGACTTTGAGCAATTTGAGGGCAGGGCTTATGCTTGGCAGATTAGTTTTGGATTTTTGTTTTTTTAATGACTTGTCCATTATGTTATTTAATAGTCTCCCTTTAGAATTCAGGAAAACCTGTCTCTGCTGAGGAACTTATGCTTCCCTCTATCTGATAAATAGAATCTGGAGGAAGAGACAGAGTCAAGATGGCAGAGTAAGACTCTCCAGAGATTGACTCTCCACAGAAACATCAATTTGAACATGATCTATGCATGAAAATGACTTCATAAAAGCCAAGTAACCAGATCAGAGACCACAACACCTGGTTTTAGCATTACTAAGAAAAGATTAATTAAAGAGGGTAGGAAAGACAGAGGTGCAATGCCTGAATCACCTCTCCCCCAACTATAAGCACAGCACAGAGAGAGAGACAGCCCACTTGGGGTAAGGAGAGGGAAGTGAGGGCAGGACTCTGACTTATAGCTCAGCACTGGGCCTGCCATGGTAAAACCCAACACCAGGCAGAACCCCATGTTCCTTAACCACAGACAGAACAAGGTATGCAGACAAAGCCTTTGGACCTATCCTGGGACACGTGAAAACCTATGGCCTTGGTGTGACAGACTTGTGTCCTCTCATCTACATTAGCCTCAGTCCATAAGTAAACTTCAGGAGCAGGAAAGCTATAGTGGTATGGGCCTGGTTGGTGCCTCAGGGATATAGTAGTCTTGGTGGC